GTCTTTTTCTTCTCTATCTCTTTTTTTATTTATCTATCTCATTTATTTCTTCTTCTCTATCTTATTTTTATCCATCCATCAATGTATAATTTATCAATATTTTTTATTTAAATATTAAATATTTAAAATAATTTTTGTATTATTAAATATTATCTGTTGTTAAATTTTTAAATTATTAAAATTTAACTATTTATCTTAAAAATGTGATACTCTTTAAACATGTTTGATTATTAAATGTTATATTTAAATTTATTGAGTTATGATATGCGGGGTAGAGGGTGTCACAACTCTCAAAATGAAAATGAAGTTTTCAATTTACGTCATACATTCTTAAAAAATGTGATTGAGAGAATATTTAATATTTTTAAATCACGGTTGATACTTTTTAAGTCAAGATCTCTATTTTTATTTAAGACACAAGTTGAACTTGTATCAACATGTAGTACTACATAATTTTCTTCGCAAATTCTAATGAATTTTTAGTTAAATTAATGGATGAATCTTCATCTTCAATGTTACTGGTTAATAAAAATCATAATTTTGAACATAATATTCATATTTAAGTGCATGAAAGAGAATATATTAATATATGGAGGGCTAATACAATTTTAGACATGTAAAATAAATATTAGTTAAAAGGACATTAAAATTAATTATTTGTTAAAAGATAAAAAATTTATATTGATTTTTTTATTATTTATATTATATTTTTTATTAAATATTATAATATTACAAATCCATATTTTTCTATAAAATCCTTTAAAATCTTATAATATAAATCCATCAAAATCTATTAAAATTTGAATTACAAAATCGTAATTAAAATCCAGGATTTAAAAATCTTTTAAAAGGAAATTCTAAAAGTTATAACATTCCTACAAAATCTTTTAAAATTTATTAAAATTAAAAAAATGCTAAAATTAGGGATGACAATGGGGTCTCATGGGGGCGGGTAATAGTAAACCCGTCCTCACCCAGCTGGATGAAAATTAGCCCCATATCCGCCCCATACCCGTGCGAGTATCTGTTAAGTGGGTATCCATGAATTTCTTGAATATCCTGGATATCCATGAATATTTATAAATTTTTTAAGAAGTTAAAAAAATTATATTACAAATAATTTTTATATTTAATGTCATTGAAATATTAAAAATAAAAATTTAATGTTAATTTTGAACTTGTAATTAAGGTTAATTTTATTGAAATAATAATAAAAAAGCAAGATAATCAATAACTTAAAATACATCAATCTCACAAGTAAGTAAAAGTCTCATATCACAAAGTTACAATAATTCAATCTCATAATCAGAGACGGATTTACATACAAGAGAGTGGGGGCACTTGCCCCCACTACCATTTTGCATATACAAATTTTTTTTATTAAAACAATAATATATTTTAAAAAATAAAAATTATATTATAATAATATATATATATATATATTTAAATTATCATATGTATAAAATATAAATTTGGAAGAATTGTTCATTTATTT